GAAGGAAGGAAGGAAGGAAGGAAGGAAGGAAGGAAGGAAGAGAGGAAGGAAGACAGGAAGGAAGGAAGGAAGATAGGAAGGAAGGAAGGAAGAAAGACAGGAAGGAAGGAAGGAAGGAAGGGAGGAAGGAAGACAGGAAGGAAGGAAGGAATAAGAAATAAATATAGATAGATAGATAGACGAACGAACGAACGAACGAACGAACGAACGACAGATTTGCCCACTCAGACCTTCTGAGGGTTGATAAGAAGGACACAGAAGAGGATGAAACTGACGGTTCTGACCACTCAGGATGCTGGGAGCGAAGGTGCAGCAGGAGACCCCCAAGTCGTGGGCGTTCTTCTCGGCTCCCAGCTGGTTCAGGTCCAGGTCCCACAAACGAAGGTCTCCGTAGGTGGACCCGGTGGCAAAGATCTGACTGCAGGGGCTGAAGGAGCAGGCCACCATGGTGGTGTCGCTCACTCCACCGGTTCTTCAGAACAAAACCCAAACAATGTTTGTGTTGAKGGGGACCAAACCTGGACCACAGGAGGACAGGGACGCACGTTTTTATGTTACCTGAGCAGCCGYTTGGAGGGGAAGTCCCACAGAGCCAAAGTCCCATCAGAAGCCCCGGAGACCAGGTGCACAGAGTCCGGAGACAGGGCGCAGATCCTGACGGAGCTGCGGCCCGGGTGCTCCAGGACCGCCTCGATGTCGCCCGTCACYGTGGACCAAACCACCGTGGTGGCGTCCGTGGAGCAGGAGGCCAGGAACTGCCCACAGGTGCTGAAGCAGACGCAGTGGACGCTGTAGCCGTGACCCGTCAGCGGCGAGAAGGGCAGCTCWGAGAAGTCCCGGGTGCTGTAGACCCGGACGGTTTTGTCCCCGGAGCAGGTGGCCAACAGYTTGGCTGAGAAGGAGCACCAGTTGACATCGTCCTGGTGGTCCTGCAGGGTGCAGACCAGAGACGCCATCTGTAGAACCGGACCTGACGTCTAAGGTTCAGACAACCAGGATCAACATCTAAACCTAAAACAAACACCTGGACAGACAAATAAAGGTGCAGAGGAGTAAATAATTTAACTAAATAAATAAATCTCAGATAAAATATGAAAAAAATCTCAGTGAAACAATAATTTTATCAAGTAAACTCACATATTTTAAACATTTTTGTAAATTGAGTAAAAAAAAAGAGCTTTATTGATAAAAACTTGATTTTACGGATAATATATCATACACTTACTTCTTTTCTTATGAATTTAAATCTAGAATATTTCCCTAAAACAAACCTAGCAACGAGTCAGAGCTAACGGTGCACCGGAACCAGAACCTTCTACATCAAAATAAAGACTGTAGACAAAAACAACCAACACGAAACAAACTTCAGCGAAAAGAGTAAAAATTTAAAATTACGTTAAATGACAATAAATAGCTTGTAGAAATAGCTAATTTCTGACTAAAGCAGAGAAAAAAAAACCCACCTGTGCCTCTTTTGTCGTCGATGGACAATGTTTACTTCCTGAATCGTGACGTCACCGCAATCTAACTCACGATGCATTCGCTGTACCTCGGAAATGTGAGCACATGTTTAAAAATTACAGACAAATGTGTATAAAATGTTGTTTTGATAAATTAATAAACGAAATAATTGCTTAAACTGCCAGTTCAGAAACAGTATATGAGTTAGTGAAAACAGTCGAGGACAGAAAAGTGCGGATTCTCAGATGACAGTGAGCAGAAAGATGCGAGTCCGCCTCTTTTTTATTCACCGTTCACTGACGGTGAGGATGAGTTCAGGCAGAACTCCGTCTCGGCGCGCCGTTACGTGCACCGGAATATAAATCGGGCATACCGCCAATAAACACTATTTTCACCATGTTCGTTTGCGTGTTTGGACCACGTCGACTGCAGCCCATGAACTGAGATCCAGCCAGAGTCTCAGGTAAGAGGGGATGGGCAGGTGTGAAGGAAATACGTTGTTTTGACTACATTCTAGTCAGCTGTGTGAACTTAATGTAATAAATTACTGATCTAAAGACATGTTTTATAATTTATTGTATTTTGACCGGTACAAAAAAGTGATAGGCTTATTTAAATTTAACTTTTATTTCTAGGAAGGGCTAAAAATTTGATTTCATAATTGGGATTTGCCTGGTTAAATAAAGCTCAGTAAATAAATCTGTCAATTTTCTATCGTTACTTTTCTAATCAGTTTCAGATATCCACGTATCGATCTTATAAATTAATGTAAAATCGTCCTCTAAGATTTTTTTGGATGATTTGTCACATTAATTTAATTATTTGAGTCATAACTGTGTTTTAAAACAGGTTAATGAATCAGTCTCGAGTCATTAAATCAGGTGTTTATTTATGTAGGTAAAAGTATCTTGTGTCTTATCTGTTAAAATAGACTAAAAATCATGAAAAATCCTCTAATTTATTCAAAGTTTTTTGGGGGAGGACCCCCAGACCCCCCCTCCTGTGTGTCCTTTACACACATTACAAGTCTTCTGATGCCCCGAGTTGTTAAATAAATAAGTACAAATACTTTGATACTGTACTTAAGTAGAACTTTGGGTATCTGTACTTAATTATTTTTCAGCCTACTTTTTACTTCTTACATTTTTAAAAAAGGTAAGAAGTATAAAGTTTTATTTATTTTCTGCTCGTTTTCGTTGCAGCTTGTTATTGTAAAAATAAAAACTATCCATATAAACTGAGCCTCCTAGAT